CATGATCTATCCAACAACACCCCTCCCAGATAAACACACTTATTGGAAATTTTGCTGAYTGTTGCTTTCGGCCACGGTTCTGATTTCGCACAAAGCTTTGTGTCTGCTTAYGTAGCAGGAAGGCAATGTTTAGTACTCCCTTTCCCAGCAAAAACAGTTAACGTTTGTAATCCATACTAAAATTTTGTATGTATTGATTTATTTTACTTTACAATCGGAGCTCATTTTWAAAAAAGTTTAAACGGTGGAGCTCAATGCTTGTYGTAATTGGTCGAAGCAATGGTGTTAGAGACTCAGAAATGATTTAAAGTGTTATGCTGATTAAGACAGACATCTAGTGTTCAACTGGAGCAACAACATGGAAAACTTTAAAATCCAYACTCTTATTTTGAAGTGAAGATAGTTTCCTGTCATGTACCCAGAATGCATCGCTTCAGTTTTCCAATAAATGGWTTTAAAATTACTTTATTGATGCTTCTTTAATGAARAATCTACMACAAACAAAAGAAAAAGRCAAAGAAGCAGCYGAACTTGCAATCCTCATCAACTTTTTARAGAAGCAGCCGAACTAGCAATCCTGARCAACTTTTTAATWTTTACACCAGGAGCCAAAATTCTGTTTCAGGAAATCACATCCCCAGCAATCGGTGGTTGTAGGATTAAGCTGAACAAGGRTTCATACACCGCTAGTTGGCAGTGTTGTGCATATATTGTACAAGAATTGTCAGCTAGTAAATGCCAAATTGAACTTGTGCTTTAAAATTAGCTTCTGCTAATTTTTCTACAACATAAGCGCTTTTGAAGTTGCGGACCTAAATATTTTCATAAGTGCTTTAGAAATTGCAGAGCTAATTTTTGGATTAGCGCCGCCCACCACTGATTAAATTAGAACATTTAAGGTGTATTGTGACTTTAGAACACCTGACAATAGGGCTGGGAAATAATTCAACAACAATACTGTGATAGACACATGACCAATATCAATGGAAACTTCCGGATCTGGAGCCGCACAGCCTTCTGGGGGGTGTAGGCAGAGGAAAGGCTTTGGCTGTTCAACCTTTCACGGACTAGCTAAACAAGGTTGGTAGCATCAACTCACTCACTCGTTGGTAAGCTAGAAACAAACTGTGGAGTAACATGTGCAGCAGCAGTTTCATGTTTCTCCAACATGCCTCAGAACTGATAATTGTTTTTTTAAGAAAAAGCTTGAACTGATAATTTAAAAAAAAAAAAAGCTTGAGAGGAAATTGTGGATAAAAGAGCAAAGGTCACATCACCAGTTTGGCAGAATTAAATAGTATTTTTTTCTTCTGGTCCTTATTTCAAACAGGTAAAATCTATATA